CCCCAAAACCCCAAAACCCCAAAACCCCAAAACCCCGAGATTTTGCGAATTAATTGAATAATTGGTTTGTGAGGGATTTATTGGGAAAATGTTTGATGAGATTTCAGAAGGAGCTGAAAGAAATGCAAATTGAAGAAGATCAGTGGTGGAGAAGAGTCTCTTAGATGATCAAGAGGTTCTTGGGAATCAGAGCTTTATTGGATTGCTTCAAGCAATGACAGAGTTAGCTAAAAGAGCTATCCCTGCTTTCTTTGGAACTGTTTTCAAGCATCTTATTGATATCTCAAATATCTTCTTTGCTGGTAAAATTGCAAGCTTTTCAGTTGACCAAGAGATCTACAACGCGTCAGATATAATTGCTGGAGTTGGTCTGGGGATCCTCTGTTATAACGTGTTTATTTTCTCAGTATCTTGGGGATTGTCAATCACTATCGACACACTGACATCACAAGCATTTGGAAGCCAGAAATATCATCTCTGTGGTTACTATTTGAACAGATACAGAGTGGTGTCTACTGTGCTCTTCTTGTTCCAATGCATTCTATTGCTAAACATTGGAGATATTTTAATTCTGATTGGACAAGCTGAGATTCCATGAAGAGTATGCCAAATATTTATAAAGTACCAGCTAATTGGCCTTTTCTGATCAGTTCAGTTTGAAGGCTTAAGAAGATATTTAATAGCCCAAGGAGTTTATAACATGATAGTTTATATTCAATGTATGTGCTTCTTCCTTCATATAGGAATGATTTCGACAATTTGTTATAGTTTCGGATTGGAAGTCGAGTCTCTTTCTTACATAAACTTGCTAACAAATATTATCAGTTTGGTTCTCTTGACTCTGTTTTGAATGAAAACATCACAGATCCCAAGAGAAGGATGGCATTATGAATTAGGCTCATTCGAAGGCTTGGCTCAGTTCATAAGCCTAGCTATCCCTTCCACGATGATGAGATGCATGGAATATTGGGTGTCAGAAATTATAATGATTTTCACAGGATGGTGTGGTGCCAAAGACCAAGCAGCTGCAATTATTATTTTCAATGTATTTTTAGCGATGTACAGACTCATCTCAGGGATCTCCATGGCTACCTCAAATCTTGTGGGCAACTGTTTAGGAAATAACGATGCTAAAAATGCAAAACAATATGCATTGGCATCTCTCTGAGTGGCCTTTGTACCTATAATTCTCTGAATTAACTTCTTATTTTTCTGTAGATACCAAATAATGAGTTTTTCGGATGATCAAGAAGTAATTGAAAAAGGAGTTTCTCTGATGATATTTTTCATTTTAATCTGTCCATTTGACTTCATACAGGGATCACTATCTGGAGTGTTCACAGGAATGGGATACCAGAAATATGGAAGTATGATAAATATCCTCTCATATTTTCTGTTCCTCATCCCTCTAGCATATGTCCTAGGATTTGTCTATGGATATGGAACTACAGGAATCTTTTTAGCCTGGGTCTTAGGATTCCTAGTCTGTTCTATCCTGGTGACCGCTACTGTATTCTTGACTGACTGGGATCATCTTACAAAGAAAATCCAAGAAAGATTGACTACTACCATTTAATAAGATTTTTGATATTTCAGGGTCTAATTTTGATTTTGGGGTTTTGGGGTTTTGGGGTTTTGGGGTTTTGGGGTTTTGGGGTTTTGGGG